TAGGCCATCAACAGTGGATGGAGTAAGATATCCCAATCATCTTGGCAGCTATTACAAAACTTTGCCAATTCCTGTCCCAGTGTCGAATTGTATTTTTTTACTATCCTATCAGACTGTAGGTGAAGTGGCGTTGTCCTGGCTTTTCGTATGCCAAACAACTTGCAGCATTCATGGAACACAGCTGATTCAAAGTTACGGCCTTGATCTGAATGCAGTTCATATGGCATACCAAACCTGAAGAATAAATCACTAATAGCCAAAGCTACAGTTGTAGCTTCCTGATTTGGTATTACATATGCCTCAGGCCACTTCGTTAAATAATCCATCACCACATCGTGTTTCCAGCACGAGTTTGGGGCAAACGACCAGCAATGTCAATGGCTACTTTTTGATATAACTTCATTGGAGTATGCCCCTCATTCACAGGCAACTGTTCATAAGGTGGGCATCCCTTATGCTTGGGTCCCCTTTAAGCACTACATGTACTGCATGTCCGGCACCATTCTTCCACATCTCACCTCATACCTATCCAGTAAAATCTCTGCCGTAGGTGACTCAATGTCTTCTTAACTCCGAGATGTCCTCCTGTTAAACTATCATGGGATTAACGCAGCACTACTTCCCGTAACTTTCTCATTATAACTGTTTGCAGATCGTCACTTTCCCATCTCCGGACTAGAATACCACCTTCAAGATTCAACTGGTCACATTGTGTCCAATAGTTCTTTGTCACAGGGCTTAAGCTTGACACCTTCTCCCAAGCAGGGCACAAAACACTTGCTTGTACAAAATCAATTATTAGCTTCAAATCTTGGTCTTTCTCCTGTTCTGCATTAATATCTATACTTGGTTCCACTTCACCATCATCAACTCCTTCAGTCACTTTGACTTCAGCTTCATGGCACCTGGTTAGTTCAACATCTATTTTACAGCGATGTCTGCAGTCATTTTTGCAGGGTCTTCGGCTCAGTCCATCGGAATTTCCATGAGATTTTCCTTCTCGGTATTCAATATCATAATTATACTGGTCTATCTTTTCGATCCCACGTGCCAGTTGTCCCTCTGGGCTCTTTAAGGATCTTAACCAGCGTAATACAGCATTGTCTGTCGTGATGGTAAACCTAGCCCAAGAGAGGTAAGGATGGAAATATGTCAGATTCTTTACTATAGCAAGGAGTTCCCTCCATGTTACAGAGTAGTTCCTCTCTGGTCTACTCAGGACCCTACTGAAGTAGGCCACCATATGTTCGTTTTCACCAACTTTC